CATTGAATCAGTACATTTTTGGGTTTCAATCAGGGAATGAATGTAGCTGTCATATTAATTGTTTGTTCGAGGTTCAAATTTTAGTAAGAAATGATGAACCCTAGATTACTAAGATTTTTCCCAACTTAATAATTTTTGCAGTTCTAAATTTTGTCATAAAACATAATCCAACAATAATTGGCCAAAATCATCAATGCTGGGTTTCACATTTATATAATCACTTACTGTTTCAAGCAGTAATACTGGTAGATGTATTGAATAAATAATTATCTCTCTATTAATTGCATGATTTGGTAATTATTTGTATGTTTTAAAAACTGTGTTTTCAGAGTCAACAAAAATTCTAATAATAAAGTGTAATAATAAGAAAAAAACCCTAATTATAAAATGTAATATAAAAACCAACATGATTTAGTAGAATTAATAATTTAACCTGTAGCGTCCGAATCAGAGTGTAAATTATCTAGGACGAGTCAAAGAAGATAAGGATTACCAATTTTTTTTTTTTTTTTTTTTTTTTTTTTTTTTAATGCAATAACCAACCAACTCTTCAATACAACAGAGAATTTTATTTGCATTACCAGGCTGCCAGCAAAAATGTTAGAATCTTATAATTAATAATCTAAATAGTTTGGTTCTATTCAATTAGGTAACAGCATGATTTGAATCTTTTAGGTTAATCATAAAAGGATCTTAGAAGTTAATAGCGAGATTGGATTCGATTTTTATGATTTACTTTAATCTATTTGAAAATTGTATCTAACGAAATATTTAGTTAGCTTATTTTTATCTAATTATAAGGTACAATATTTACAACAGTTTGCTTTGTAGACAAGCATTCCTTTAGTATTTATAATACTATTAAAAACTTCTTTAGATATTTTACTTTTTCATTTTTTTAAAAAAAATTATATAGAAATGATACTACTATTTTAGTTAATGAAGTATATGTTTCGAATCTTATGATTCGATTCCCATTTCTCAATTAAAAAAAAAAGTTGTGTTCTTTGATTCGCAATTCAATTATCAATTTAAAAATTATAGTTCAGAATATAGATGGTAAATATAAGATCAATACGAGAAAGAGAAAACATAATCTGATAAAACTGCTTACCACTTGGAGATTCTCTACCATCTAAATGCTGGCAAGACATAGGATGGGTATGCATCATACTTGGATGCAAGAGCAGTCACAGCAGATAAATCAGCAATATCTCCAAGCTCGTTAAGTCCAAGTTCAGTGGCATGGATTCCACCAGTTATAAATACTGATTGAATTCCGGCAACATTTGCTCCCTTGATATCATGGTGAAGAGAATCTCCCACAGCAATAGAATCAGATGCATCCACACCGACCATGTCCATTGCTGATTTATATATTATCTGACAAAAATTTTAAAATGCTTACCGGTAACTCCAGCAGTAAGAGCAGAGTAAAAACGAGAAACTCATCGAATACATACATAGATACAGATGCTAGATGACTACGATCCAGCAAAAAAATATGCACATCCTACCATACCGTGAACGAAGAGTGAAAAGTGATTTCATCACATATTTCTTTGCTCGTTTAACAATTTTAAGTTAAATATGATCATGTGATCAGAATCACTGAATTTACAGAACTGCATTTGATATTATAAACAGTGAATTTTAGAAAGCATATGTTTAAAACTCTAAAGTTATTGGTGTCTACACTTTTCTACCCACCACTGCACCTTAATGACAAAACTGGGGCAAAAAGGCCACCGAATTATTTATAGAGTACCATACTAAGCCAAAAGCTGCAGAATTATAAAGGTCAATTACATGAATCCTTTTCCTTCATCATGCATTGTACAATATCATATTCTCCATGAGATACCTAACAATCAGGTCTCAATTCACTTTTTCATATTGGTGCACGCATGAAGAAACTATCGACATTGACACTCCCGCAATAAATCCTGTACAGATGCATTGATTACTTTTACATTGAGATACATGTTCATTTACATGGTATGTTGTCTCTTTTTAATTCGTACATATCCAATGGTTTTGTTAGGCAGCAAGTACTAACAGTGCTGTGACTTTATCAGCAACATCCTCTTTACTCTTTCCACAATATGATATTTTATCTTTCCTTCTATCAAAAATACTCAAAAATTTAACATATAATGTTAGGAGTGATCTCATATCTGGCTTTGCCTATTTATAGAATCACCTGCAAAATTTTCATGCATTAATTATCTTATTTGCCAACCAATTTCAATAATGACAATTTCATAGTGGATTACATTCATCTTTTCATGTTTTCATATTAAGATATAAATTTTTAACTTAGACCTTTCTTAACCTCATGCGTTAGAGGAAAAGCTGCCACGACCAGTTAAGAAGTTCGCAGTTTCAATAAAACTGTCCATGCATGACTGAATAAAACGGCCTAAGTCCAGCACAAAAACGAATAAGAACACCATATGCCGCAAAAGAGTCACTCATGCATGACTGAACCTATCCAAATCTCTATCATGTGAACTAAGTTCACCCACCAGCAATGAAGAAGTTTACATTTTAATAACAATACCTATCGGCCATTTAGGAAGGTCAATCCAGCAAATAAACCATATGACACCATATGCTACAAAATAGATATACTTAGGCAGATCTATAATGGAATGTCAAAAATTTGGGCTTTGTTGATCCCTACCATGGAGCAAAATGTGGTTTTCAATGCGCATAAATGTTCAATATGCCCTCAAATAAAATGAATCCGAATAAAAAATCAAGTACGATAAGGATTAAAAAGTTGCTTATCACCTTATCGGGCTTGCCCATCCATTTCACTTCACCCCCAAGCTTTTCGTATTTAGCAGCTAATGTACCTGATAAGACAAACATTATCTTCATCAATAAATAATAAATAACATAATAAATCCATATCTATCATGCATGTTGAGGAAATAAAGAAATCAAGCCATATTGCAACGTATCAAAGTTGTCATGTCAAGAACATAATCCTTTATGTCTCAATCTTTGAGATAGATATTTTTCCTATAAACTGCAGGTTCTAGATCGACCTGTCCCATATCAAGGGCTTTTCATATTTGTAAAGCAAGCCCAAAGTGGAAAGAGATAAGTTCAGAGGTGGGACAGGGTGGTTTTGATCTTTAGCCATGCCCTGCACTGACCCACCTTATGTATATAGTTAATATCTTATAAATAAAATTTTAAATCTTATTGAGTTATAGATTAATGATAAAGTTAATGAACTGAATATTATTGAAGCAATTCACATCTTATTTACTATTTATTGGGATGATACTAAATTTCATGAATTTGTCATATGATGATTCTTATATAATGCTAGAATTTTTCCGATGTTGTCCAACTATGAAATTATAATAAAATGTCACTATAATAACGTCTGAATTGTTTTAGTTGATTCTATTCTTTTACCTAATAATATATAAA